GTTTATGACTAACCTGGAGACCGTGTGATGTAAATTGCTTCTGCTGCGTGTTTATTTTTTGCACATCCATGCAAATAGCTCCTTAGTCAGCCTTGCTTTTGTTTCTGGCTACTTTTGCTATTCGGCTCTTGTGAAATAGCATCCGGCTGCAGGCTTGGGATTGCAAGGGTTGCAGGACCATGGGTTGGGTTTATTTTGTTTTCTTTTAGTGATTAAAAATCCCATGACATTTGTATGTATTTTAATCTTAAACTTTTTGTAATGAACACACACATGAAATTGTGAGCCTAAATCAAGTAATGGGGAGGAAGGGTGCTTGCAAGGCCGCAGCACATCTGCTCTTTGAAGAAAGAGAATGAGCAAAATAGGTTTTTCTTCTGCCTTCCATTTGTGTGTTCATAAATACCCTGATGAGAGACTGTCCCTGTGTGTGGGTACATATGCAAGAGGGAGAGTAAATAAAAACAGAGTGAGTCTCTGTGTGTGGGGAATGCCCTTCCGCCACCTCCTCTTCCATCCCCCCCTCAGCATTTGACCTTGAGCTCAGTCTCTCTTTCTCTCCCTCCCCACCTCTTCTGCATCTGGCATCAAATGCAGGCTAGTACAGCTGGGGTCCTAAAAGTCTCCTTTCTACCCACGGTCTAGGAACCACAGCTGCCCACCTTGATCCCGTTAACCCTTGCCATTCCAGAAGGCACTGCATGTGCATTCTCTGGTGAGGAGGGTAGACAGGTGGCCTCCCCTGAGTGCGCTGTAAATACCATTCCATGGATTAATTGGTACGATGTCTTTCCCCCCCCTCCCCATTCCCATGTGGTGAGAGGTCACCATCCTCCCCCTTCTCCAGGAAGCACTTCATCTCCAACGTGCCTGATTTCCACCAGCCAGAGCTAGAGTCAGTCGTGGCTGCTCCTGAACCTGGGCATCCTGTGCTGTTGCTGCTGCTGCTAAACAACCATAATCTGTTTGTCTTTTAAAGCAGCATTTTATGGAACAATAGCCAGCCTTGTGCTCTCTGAGACTGTGCATCCCTGTCCTTGCAGCTGGTGCCTCTACCAGTACTAAGCTCCAGTGAACAAGATCAGCTGAAACCCTCATTCCCCTTCATCCTCTTCAAGGGCTTGCCTATCCACTGGGGCCACTATCAGTTACATGAAACATTTGGTTTCCAATGGAGTGTTTGTGCTGGAAGGCACAGGTCTATTCGAGCAGCAGGCAGTGATCCTAGGCAGCAAAAGCTTGCCCTGTGTTAGTTTACAACAGTTTCACCCACACAGAAAAGTACAATGGAGACAGATCATGCACAATGACAGGCTGCCGGCGGCTCCAGGGGATCCATAATTTATGATGTTTTTCCTACCAATCCGGTTTTGGATTTCACAAGCAGACCAGTTTCCTTTCCATTTGTTGCTTCCTTCCGTCCCTATTTCAAGAAATTTTGCTCCAAGCCCCAAATGAGCAGGACCAATGATAACTGCCCAAATCATAATGTGCTGTATTTGCATAGGCAGAGGGGAACCCCCAAGCTTACCTAATTTCTGTCAAATTCTGACATAGAAATGCGAATGATTTCACACATGCCTTATAGCATTTGAGCTTCCTGAAAAACACTAGCAGCCCATGTGTCAGCACCCTGAACCACATTCATGTTCATTGGGTCATCTGGTAAAACAGGGCTACAGAGATTTCCAATAATTGGGTGATTAAGGGCAAAGATACTAACAAAGGCCTTTAAGGATTGTCCTTGCTCAAATAAAAAGAATCAAAGCTTAATCTCTTCCATCATTTGTAGTCTAGCAGGCACTTCCTTGTTGCATAGAAATACAAGACACCAAGGTACCACCTTCCCATAAAACTTCAGAAAAAGGAGAGAGGCTGGTGGGTCATCATGGTGGTTTACAAATGACCAAGTGACGTGCATTTCTGTAATGGGCTGATTGAGAACAATGAAACCAAAGTTCCTTAAACTTCAGATCCACATCTGAATTCTCACAGTATGAGATTAACTCGATGAATCCATCTGTGACACATTTATTTTTCTTTTTAATAAAGGTCACACATTGCAGGTTTCAGACCTCATTGTGCTAAACTCTGATGCAGTCTAATGCATTGCACAGACCAAAAGAAACAACTATCACAAAGCAGTAGGGAAGGACCGGCATGGAGAGGGTTTGTAAAAGTCTAATCATTTCCTATCACATCACTGGGCCTTGCTGGAGGGTACACTGTGAGTGAGCTGGTTTCAGTTGTAGTTGAAGGTAATGAAGGGACAGGCCAAGCTTCCTCAGACGCTTTGGGGGTGGGCCATGAGCTCTCAAACAGAGACTGCCTTACTGCTGATGGCTGGGTCATCACTGTGGTTTACAAATGACCAAGTAAGGTTAAAACCACAGTCACTGTGGTTGCAGACAGCTGTGATTAGTCACACAGTAAGTGATCCAATTATGGCAACCCCTCCACCCCATTTCATCTGTCTAAAAGGGAAACCCAGGTCTCTGTTAACTTGATTTCAAAAAAGATTTTATATTGTAAAGAAAGAGGAGCCTGAGGTTTGAAAGGAAAGAAGAGAGAGATGCTTTGGCTGTATGAAATTTAGTTAGTATATAAGGTGTGCATCTCCTCTGGTTTCTGACTGAATGAAACTGGGGCTAAGCTTTCAGAAGTGAAGCAGAAAGGAAGAATGATACTGCACTGTATGATTCCTATGCTTTATAAATAAAAAGCACGTGGACAGGTCAAAAATAGTGCAATATGAGATGGATCCTGAATTTTTCTTAGAATCATTAGCATTTTGGCTGTGTTTATGGTACGCTGTAACAAAATTCAAGATGGAGGATGATGCAAGTAAAAGGTCAGGGTGTTTTCTTGTTCACTCAGGCTAAGTACAGCCAGTCAAAAACCCCAAGGCTGAATTGATTCAGTCTTTGCAGGTTAGTCTAAGCTGCAAAGATTGAACCAAAAAGCAAATGAACAGACTTTCACTTGTGATTCAGGAAATGCAGCCACGTGCCTGGAGTGACTCAAACCAGAAGTCAGGGGGCGCTAGAGCATGGCTCTCTGGCACATAGCCAGCATGGGCAGTGTGTTTCCTTCCTCTTCCTGCTGCCCCTGAGGAGTCTGGGATTTACAGTTCACAATCACAGCAGCAGGGCTCTGTAAGGTTGCTCATCACTTCCTCTTCCTGCTTCCAGGTGTCCCAGCCAGCAGTAAGTAAGCCAGCAGGACAGCGCAGCTCTGTGCTTGGGGGAAGGGGAGTTTAACCACCCCCCCTTACCCCAAACCCTGGTTGGGGTTTATGTGGGGGGGCAGTGAGCTAGCCCTCACTGCTCAAGCTAAGGAGAAGAGGGGTGGGGCCAGCCCTGGTCTCTGGTGCAGACAGCCCAGCCCAGGGCTGCAAAGCATGCTGGGATGCTGGGGGACTGTGATTTAACTTGAAGCAGAAAGGGATCTGGGACAGAAGTTTCATAAACCGGTTTGACCTACATCAGTTAAGTCTGATACTACATTCAGCCTTGTTTATCTTAAATCAGTTTTAGCCATTTTGAAACTGGTTTATGTGCACTAAACATCTGTTCTGTTACAGGTTAAAACCAGTTTCTGATCACTTAAACCAGTTCCTAGCTCAGGTTCCTAAGTCCAGGTAAGTATCAAATAGCCTGCAAGCTCTTAGTGAAATCAATGGGCTACAGCTAGTGTTAACTGCCCTAACACTATTTACTCTGTGGCTTTAGCAAGTCAATTAAACTCTTTGTATCTTGGTTTACTGGCTCCCTAAAATGGGTATAATGCAGACATAGCTCCCATGAGTGCTTTGTTGTTTAATTGTCTAGGGGAATCCTTTATATTTGAAATATGAATCATTTAAAAAGAAAGGATGTAAAAATAATTTTAGGTGCTGCACCTACATCTCCTTTTCAACTTTTGTGGTTTAATAAATACATTGTTCCTATGTTCTTAAAGTTTGCAACGAAAGACTCACACAATCAAGAGGGGAAACTGAGTGAGTAATTTACCTTTGGGAGCCTTTGCAATATTTCCAGCCCAATACACCAAGGAAATAAAATGACAAGAAGAGAGAAGATACTTTTTCCATTTGAGTAACTATCAGGGTAACTTGTTGCAGAGTAGGTACATCATTTTCAGGAGGGTGGGATTTTTTTTTCCAATTGACTATGTTCCTTTAACAAGACCTGTTTCTCTTCTGCATTTACATGTAGACACACAAGTGGGTGGGGTAAACCCCTGTGTGGGCTACCCACACTTTTGATTGGGGCACATGAGGAAGCAGGTGATCTGCACCTGCTACTCTCTCCCTGGAACAGGTGAGTAGAGGAGGTAGAGGCTATGTTCTCGCTCATTGTGACAGCCAGCAGTGCTGACTTAGCATGATGAGGGAGGTAATCACTTCCTACTGTTACAGACCAGCAGCTTTTTACTACACAGGCTGAAGGATATGGAGAGCAGAGAATCACTTTTTCTCTACTCCTTGGCAGCAAAATAATATCCCTTGCTGAGAACTGTCCTTCCCACAGAAAGCTACTGTTGAATATTGTTATATCACAACAAAATCCTCCAATAAAATGCGTAACAGAAGTGATGATGCTGATGAGCATTTATTATTTCATTTTGTTTTAAGATTTGGTTTGGGTGGGCTATGCAAACCAATAACATTCATTCTCTTTAAGGCCCCTCCCATTGCATTTAGCATGTATTTTCCCTTTCAGTGATAAAAGTAATTGTCCCAGTGCAGAATGCTGAAGACAAGTATATTTTTGTTAGCCATCTGAGGGTTAAGAAATGGCTAAATCAAGTTTTGCTGAAAAACAAGAAAACCACAACTTTGCTCCTGTGCTGTGGTAGACTGAGTTTCACCCATGTGCACAGTTTTATAGCCTAGCTGTAAATCCTTGGAAAACTTTCTAATGGAGGTCCTGACAAATCCTTTAATGTGCTCGTTCCGGCACTTGTACAAGTCGATTATAGCTCCAGCCTTCTATGTTATAGTAGACTTAGTCTCTTTGGTTCCAGAAATCAGTTTCATGGCCCCCTCTCATGTGTGCCAGTGGAGGCTGACAAATGAAAGCTAAGGGCTTAGTCCTGAAGAGAAGTGGAGTAGGGCTGGGAGGGAGCAGACCGGAACCAGAGACAGTGCTGTGCTAGATGGAGACCTTAGAGACAGGCAACAGCCCCTTGTCAGAGTTCTGCTACTTGTCTTAGGGATTTTGCCAGCTTCTTCTAGAGTCAGCTCCCGTCTGGATATTACTGTACTAGGTCTGACAGGATTTTGTCTCGGTGTTCAAAAAAAAAAGTTTTTGATGGGCATTTGTTTGGTCTTTCAGAATATGTGGGTGTCAAATACTTTCAAATATATTTCTCGGGTAAGGATAGCCCTATGCATCTCTACCAGCTGTCCTCACCAGTGCACTTTTAACATAAGCAAATTTCCATTATGACCAGTACATTTCTCAGGAATGTTGTAGAAACACTTTCTCCAGGGAGCCCTAATTGCATTGTTTGTGAACACAGTAACGTTGCCTCTTTCCATGGGTTTGAGAGAACAGTTTTTGTTTAAGTGAAGAGATCAGTGGCCACATTCCCCAGTCTCTCTCTTCTTCTCCTTGCAAGTGCTTCTACCCCAGTATGTTAGATCGTTCACAGATTACAGGGGAATTGTCTTTGTAGGACTGGCACCGAATATTGGCAGCATGTTGCTGCTCAGGAACGGGGCTGCTGTTTTTTGTTGCTTGCAATCCATTCAGGTGAAGTAAGCTCAGGGGACAGGGTTGTGCAGGGTGAAGGGCTGGCCAATACTTTCAGCCTAGCAAACATCATGTGGCACTGAGCAGCTGGCTATGAGAGATAGTGTTTCACAGGAGTCAATGGAAGCATTTGGTCTGTCTGGCCTTGGCTCTCCCTGTAGCCTCAGCTCAGCTCTGCTGTGCATTTGGGTAAAGCAGGAGGACTTACAAACAATGAAAATGTTTTCTAAGCATGTTAGCTATGCATCTCTCAGGCTGCACTGGGGCAATAAGCTGCACCCTAGGCCCATATTTCCCCTGCCTGTCTGCTTGTACCATCACTCATATTGGTGTAAAGTGTGTACAAAATGCCGCCATTCTGATACGGTAGCTTTTTATCGTATTTGTTACACAGCCTAAAAAGAAATATAGAATCAGGCCAGCTTATCCCTTCCTTTTTCTGTTTGTCCCTCACCAGTTACCTCTCCTAGTTTTCTCAACGGGGTTTAAAAGCAGCACAGATTTTTATGTGAGGATAACTATCGTAGCCCCCTTTCCCAGTATCTGTGTCTCATTCTCATATCAGCATCACACCTCAGTTAATCAATAGCAGATATCCAAGACTTCATGGGACAGTTTCCTTGTGGAGGGAGAAACCAGCATTGGGTTTGGGAATAGTGGTAAGTGTAATGTAACTTATGTTCTAGCTATATAAACATAATGGTCCTAGGACAGGAGTGGTCAAGCAGAAGGCAGAACCGTCTCTTCTTTTAGGATGGCCACCTTGACACTAATGCCTGGTTCTGCAAGAACAACTCTCTTCCAAGAATTGACTTATAACTAAAGACAAAAGCAGATGACAAACTCTTCTGCTGTTCACACAGCTCTCTCTCCAAGGAATATGTTAACGCCTCTGCCCGGGATATTTCTCTATAAAACCCACCTACAGCATGTCTCCCTAGGACTAAACATTTTCTTTCCTTCCTAGAAACAGATCTTGGGAGATGGTGTGTAACAGCACCACCTGGTGACATGTGTCATAATGCTATGCATCTGCCTGTGCCATGCGGAATGTCATTATTATTAGCATTTTCATTCTTTCTTTTTTGGAATTGAAATAATGCCTAGAAACACCTTACCGAGAATCAGGCTTGCACGGTGCCCACACATCACAAAGAGACAGTTCTTGCCAAAAAAAGGCAGACAATCTTAGTGACTGACCCCAAATCCACCCAAATTGTTGGGAAGAGTCTCATAGATTTTCAGGGGCTGTTGTTCAGGTCCTTTAAGGGTAAAGAAAATGAAATAGAAGTGAAATTATTTTCTTCGAGGAATATATGGGGATATAGTCTTGCATAATTATGCAGGTGTTAGTGTCACTGTCCCTACTGCCTTCATGCTACTGATCTAGAGCCTAGGCCAGGTATGTTTTATATAAAATTCATAATCAATCTCTTAGTACATAATTTACTTGCTGTAGAAGAGACATGTTCTCATCTAATCTTGTGGCAGCACAGGAGACAGTTCTACCTCATATTTTCAATGTTTTATCCAGTCAATCAAGTCTGGAGTTGTGGGGCTTCCATCATTTTCCTTCACATGCTAGTTGGCACTTCTTGTTAAGTGTTTGTATTGTGCTCTCAGAGTAAGGAAGAGAGTGGGCTGCACTGCAGAACTATGAAGCATTATTCTTGGGGCTGGTAGAGATGCAAATCCTAGTTCTCTCTAGTGTTCTCATTCTCAGAGTCACTAGCACACCCCTGTTTCCACACAGGGCCCATGGCTGGATATGTCATGTTTCAAATGTGTTCAGTGACACACTTGAACATACTAGGGTAGGTGGGGGGGTGCTCTCCAAGTGCTGGCCTGGCCCACGCAGTCCTGGAAGGAATTGCTGATTACCATGCAATATATGGTCTGAATATTCCTCTGCCTTATTTTATCTCATTGCTTCTATTTATACCAGTACAGAGACCCAGAGCAATTTGTCTTCTCCCTTCCTGCCTTTCACACAACATTAAAATCCAGAGCAGCACTTACACAATGAGGGTCAAATTCCCCACTCTCATAAACTCTTCTGTAGAGGGACAGATGCTGCCCCATCGACCGACAGCAGTAGAGATCAGACTCTGAATCTGGAGTTGGTAGATTCTCCTGTTTGAGGCCTAGCTGAGATCCTGTTTGATTTGGTACTTGTGTGTTACCACACTGGTGGTATCAAATGTTGTAATTGATTTTTACTTGATTAGACTATATTGAAGCAGGATCATCTTAGTAAATGGGATGACTTGTGGTTTGGAATATGATATATGTTTTAACAAGCCACTCCTGACTGTAATCCCACCATGGAATTTGAGAGAGGGCATTTTTTATTTCTTCTTTGCTGTCCTAGGTTTCTTTTAAGAGCTTTATTCAGGAAAATCAAGATTGACCCCATTTAAATCTATGTTCAGACTTACAGCTGGATAATGAAGATCGGAATCTGGCCTATAATGTAAAATTGGAGTGTGCCTTATGAACTAGTGTATAAGATGAAAGTGGACAGAGAAAGGAACAGCATAGCATGGCAGCAAACTCTGTTTGGGGATTTGGTGAAAACCTCTTTAAAAACAGAAGTATTAAATGCAATGAAAGGTTCATGTTGCTAACAGTGCAACTTTATTAAAAGCAAATTAGTTTTGGTTTGGGTCTTTCAAAGTGAATGTTCAATAATATATCTTTGGGGCCAGAATTTGCAGATTTGGATAGGTATATGCCTTTAAGAGCAAAATTCCTAGGCTACCCAAGAATTCCAACATGAAGCTTTAAATATTTTTCATGTCAGCTCTGTTCCTACTACCTTTGTTTTCCCCTCTCTTGTCTGCCTTCTCTTGAACAGCTGGACTCATCACTGTTCCATTTTTCTATTGGTTGTGACTGAAGTGGCTTGAGGTCAATTATTTCCCCTGCAATTGACAAAGAATCTTGACTAAGAGGAAAGTGACATTGTCCCTTAAACACACACTGTTTCCACCCCCACCCCTGTGTTAGAAGAGGCCATTCCTTTCCCTTTGCCTGCGGCCTAACATAATTGTGTCAGTGGCTTCAGTGGAGTACATGCGTAACATATGGTAAGTGGGGAAAACATTTATATTCACCATAAAAGAGCAAAAAAAGATCCTAAAGAGTTTACTGCAGCCAGGACAAGGCAGATAGAATGAGCAACACAGTGACAGCCTTATCAATTGGAGGAATATTTGTCTTGCTTTTTTTTTTGTTACCAGTTTCAAAACTTTCAACATTTTGGCACAGAGATCCTCACTTTGGGGTGTGCAGTAGTAAAATTCTGAATAAAAAGCATGTTTCCCCAGCATCCTTTTCTTTGAGGTGCATTTCTTAAAGCAACCACATCAAAAAACGAGTACACAGAACCTACCCTACGCTATATACTTCCCCTGAGACTCGTGAGCCGTGATGACTCAAACCTGTTTTCCTTCCCCAATCTTCCCCTCCGCACCAGAGCCACAATTCAAAGCTAAACTAGGTGATCCTCCGCTCTCAGCCCGTTGGCATTTCTTTCCCTTAATGTTTTGACAAGGAGACAAGGTAATGCACTGCACGCATGCAGACTGTGCATTTTGGGCTACAAATTTGGAGGATAGGCTAAATAATTAATCGGTGTTAGATCATTTTCTGATGATTCACATGAAACCTCCAGTTGTTTCCATCTAGTCTCTCCTCAAATGTATTATGCAAAGCAGCTTCTGAAGAAAGTTTAAAAAGATCTTTTGTTTTCAGTGAGGGAAAAACAAAACACTTGCACATTCCCACTCACGCTCTCCTCAGTCTTACATACTCTCACACAAACTCTCGCCCTTCTCATCTTCACGTGCACACACTGGCCTTCTTTCTCTCCTTCTCATGTGAGCCCAGCAGTTGCTCATATTTATTCAATCTAATCAAATCTCTTCCTCTATTTTAGGGCATTCGATAGCTCAGACGTCTCTAAGGGGCAGTTTTACGAAGACATCTAAAGATGCAAACAGGTGCTTAATGGAACATTCAAAAGTGCCGAACACCTAACTCTCGCTGATTTAAATGCACGCAGATTTAAATGGACACGGGTGCTTTTGAAGCTTTCGGTAAGCTTCTCTCTTCATATTTAGTAGCTACCATTGAAATCTGGCCTTAATGTTTACTCTCTTAGCAGCAGATCTTCAATGGAGCTCACACAATTTATAGCAGCTGAAAGATATGCACCCAATATTCTTTATGGTGTTTATTGTACAATGTAGTTGAACTTAATATCACCCTGGGTAACACAGGCTTATTTAATAAGTAATTTAAAATTATTTTATTTGCTCTATTTGTATAATTATTATTTCCCTTTTTAATGTGCTTTGAGAATTGCAACTCTCTAATACCTGGCTTTAACGTATACATCTTCATAAGGTTAATAGAGGAATTTCAAATTGGCTTCATACAACTGAATGCTGAATCAGAGTGAATATTTACTCAGTGATTTCTTGTCTGGGAATCATCAATGAGACACAAAGAAAGAATACACGACATTGGCTGTTTTCTTTCATTGTCATGGTTTGGTATATGTTGGTGTTTCAGTGTTGTCAACTCTTGTGGTTTAATTCTGAGTCTGGCAGTAGTTCGCATTTTTTCTTAAAGCCCCAGCTTCTGGAGTCATGTGATTACATAAGAATCTCAGCTTTTAGTTTAAAAAAAAAAAAAAGGAGGGTTCTAGTCCTCATTTTTACAGAAAAAAGCTGGAAGCCATGAAGCCTAAGGGCTTAAAAAAGGGACAAATATACTGAACCCTACATATATTGTCATTTCTTTTTCATCTCAATATTTTTAAAGCCAATCACTTGATCTTTGTGGAGGGCTTGACTCATGACTGTTGTATACTTGGGGTTGGCAG